TAGCTCAAGTCAACAAGGCTAGCAATCAGGACATCTGATACCGTACCTGAGCCTCCCAATGCGTATAAAAGGCCAGCTCAGTAGCCACTGCCTCTCTTCAAACAAGTCCTCGCTGCCCCCACCCCGCCAATTATGCCCGAAGCCAAAACGACCCGACACCCATCTCCTACTGCCGTAGCTGTCTCAACATAGACAGCCCGTCTAGCCCCCTAAGCGCCGGTTCTCCCCCTAATTGCGGGTTGTAGAACCGAATCCGCGAAGTGCAGACGGTCGCGGATTTCTCTGTTCCCCGACTCGTGACTCGTTTCCCTCGCCCCAGCACTCCGGTGAAATATCCGTCGTAGGCTGGGGGTTTCTCTTGACTGCTTGTATGATCCGCATATACGGTGAAGGGGAGAGGACGGGGTGGAGCAGCGAGGACGGGCACGCGCGCGCGCTTTGTCCTATCAATTTTTCGTCAATTTGTCCTTCGCGGACACGTTCTGTAGACATGATGTACATACCTTCGAGCCTCGTGTTGTAGTCCTTCGTGATCCCCGCGGTTGATGTCTATATCGAGAATATATCGTCAGTCGAAGCCTGTCAGATAGAAGCCCCTTGGCGCCTACCGACCTCGTTTATAAGAAACATCCTCACGATACGCTCGTCATAACTTCTGTTCGCCACCTTCAACAGCCGCAGGCTACCTAGCAGCCCGCCTCGCTAACCACGTCAAACGCTCGCACAGCGCGGCTCTAGTACACTCAGTTCGCCGCGCAGACGTAGACGGGATGCCCTCCTCGGGACGACGCGACGGCGGGCTCGGCCGTGCACTGGCCAGTCGCGCCCGGACCGGCCGATGCGCCGTCCCCTCGCGGGTCCTCGCCAATGTCTTCGCAATGAGCCGGATGAGCTGGGGTTGTGGTGTACGGGTCGATGACACTAGTTGGCGCGAGACGTGAGGGACGGAGGGTCCCGCGCGGTACTGAGAGGGCCGGCTTGAGCGGATATGGGTTAGCGCCTGCCCGTTCGGGGTATTGTGGCGAATGCCTGTCAATTTTTGGAACTTTTGCCCTTCGAGGACCTGCCCTGCGCACACGGGAAGCTCTGCACTCGATTCGGTAGCTGAAGCCAAAATCCACGGGTTCAAACTCGGCATTAGCGGTACAGACGCTGTCAAAGATGCACGCTCGGCCTGAAGACGCAGAAGCCTTTACGCGGATCTTGCAATGGTAACCCCGCCCGAGGCTGCAACAAAGAATATCGTGAGGCGTATTCGGGCAAAATATGGCCAGTTCGGTGTTTGTGCCGGAACCGAGTGTCTCCGAGATCGTAAGCTTGGCCGAGCAACCCGCCAATCGAAGGTAGTCGAGATGGTACAATCGCAAGGCTTATATCGCAGCCCTTGCGTCGAGTACGATGCAGAGCAATCAGAGCAAAGTATAACCGCACCCGTTCACCCCAAGCGGATATCATATTATCCATTGCCACTATCCAGCGCTTCTAGCCTCCGCGCGTCTACGCGGCGGACTCAGTAGATGATGGTCAAGAAGAAGCACGCGTGAGAGCGTTCCGCAAGCGAGACTGGCCTGTTCTATTTCCCGACGCCGAGGCTAACCTGCGCACCCGAGTTCAATCTCTCACCACCACCACGCTCTGTGTATTCTCTCTGCACGCGAGAGTCTGAACATGTCGAAGCCACTCATTGACTTGCCGACTTCAATATCTGCCGATGGTTGGGCCGACGACCTCTTTAAAGCCGCGGGTACCCGCCCAGACCCTACTGTCAAAGCTCCACCTCCTCCGCCTCTAGCTGGACCTTCTACCTCTTCATCTTCTACCATTCATGCTTCGAGAGTCCCTCCCGTGGAACGCAAACCAACTTCACCGGAATCTCGGCCGAGCTTTGCGAATGGCCGTGAACGGTCCACCGACTACGCATCTCAAACGATACCAGCTGGGGGACTGGCTGCCACTCTTTCCTATCCTGGTCAAAACCCGTTTCCGGCTCCTGATGAGGATGGAAGGCTGAAGGTATGTTCGTTAGTCTCAGATGTCTAACATCCGCGTTAGGCGCCCGCGACCTGTGTGGGGGCTTATATGGGCGCATACTGACGTATGTCCTAGCGCTCCGCCTCACATTCGCACCTGTCACCCTTGGACCTGCCATCGCCACCCCCGCACCCGGGATACTCAACGGCGCACTCTCGTACAGAGGATAACCTGCTTCGGTCCCCCGCCTCCATGCCGTCGCCCAACGCTCGCTCGCCGCTACATGCCTCGCATATGCGTAACGGCTCGGATACGAGCGAGAACGGCGTGCGGAAACCTGGGGGACATGCGCCTAGTCTACGCTCAAGTGTTGCCAGTAAAGGAAGCTGGCGCGTGGGCTTCACTGGGAAGCTGAAGGGCGCGCTAAGATTAGGAAAGAGGGAGAGGACCATGTCGGAGTACTCGATTCGCGAGTAGGTTTACGTGTTTTAGGTCGGACTTGAGTATGCTTTCCTTCTCGGTTATGATGTGCTGAGATTCGGACTCGGACTGGATACCTCCTGTATACATGAATATAACGCTCGTTCTGCCATTTCCTCTGCTCGGAGAAGAGTGTTTCGCCAAGTTGCGGACCACCTACTTCAATGAACAGGCGCCAGCTCACCATCGATACTCCCAATGGATGGCATTTAAGTACCATCAACACCCGCGAGAAGCTATGGTACGTGATGTCATGCTCCGCTTCCACGACAACCTTAACACTTACTACCACGGATATGACGGTAGCCTCTGGTGCGCGCTCCCGCTGTACTTTGCCGAAGGCGAATACCGTCGGCATCAGTCAGCACTCCGTGAGCGTATCCCGCGCTTCCCGGCTTTCCGATCGTATGAGCGGCGATCACCGCGTCTGACAGACTGGGAGAAGTCGAAGCCCAGAACGAAGATCACGCCTACGGGCGTATGTGGGGCTGACAAGGCTAGGGCATCCTTGACTGTCGAGGCAGTGCTGTATGCGGGCATCCTTATACTATCGAGGGCAGTGGTATAGCCTAGCACTGCCTTCGACTTGTAGGGAAAAGATGTTATTTCACGCCCAAGTACCGGCTCATCGAGAGCTACATTGACGCATGAACTGAGGTTGCACATGCAAGAGTATTTCGTCGTTGAGCCGACTACATTGCTAGCTGATGACAGAATCGACGATGAAATTCGCAACATGCATCGCCTCGGATTTGCTCACCGCTGTGTGGGAAAGAACGCTCTGGCAGTGCCGTACCCGATTGCTGTGTTCATAGGGCTTCGCAGCTTGCTAGGAATGCGCTGAATAGATACAACATGCCGTTGGTCGCGACTCACGCTTCCGATAAAGCTACTATACTCGCCGCATGCCCCTCCCGCCGCCTGCCGTGTCAAATATGTGCTGTGAAGGTCTATGACATACCTTATGCGAACTGGCGCCATCCAATTGATGTCTATACAGCTTTGAGTATGCCGTCTATTACTTGAAAGCATACATTATTCCAAGACAAGATGTGGGTGGACGGGCTCATACATTGTAAGCTGGGCTTGGAGCACACGAGGTCTGCGATACAGATAGGAAGAATCAACTGTGCCATGGATATTGCTGCACGATATTTACATCGGAGGTATATTTTCAGCAAAGATGAAATGATTTCCTCTTCGATTGAGTCTTTCAGCTCAAGGTGTATGCTCACGACTTGCAGCCGCATCGACTCTTACCACGATCCTAAGTGCGCATCACCGAATCCAGCGGCTCACATGCGGCAACATCTACAAAGAGGGACGCGGGCCCATGAGCAACGCGTCTACACACCAATCTGCTCTTCGGAAAGACCAATGGAAGCCCAGCCGAGTTCAGCGCTTAGTCCTCGTAGAGCCGCCTCCATGTGCATCAGAGACAGAACCTTTTCCCATTGTCTTGCAAGACAGAGCAACATCTCGCAGGTTATTTGTCGGCAACATTCAAGGTACGTGAGACGCTTCTCGTGGCGCGCGCTCTTCCACAAACAGGTCACCAAGCGCAGCGGACGACTTACAGTACCTTCAACGACGCGGACATAGAGCCTGTGCAGCGAGAGGCGGCGTTTCCTTATGCATCTCTACACGATCTGGGTGTTACTCCTTTTAGGTCTGCTTGTCTCTCGACAGCAACTGAAGACTAGGCTCAGCTCGACCTTTCCTACCGACTTAGCGCCTCAGGCGCTAAGATCAACTTAAGGCATAGCATATATTGGTCAAGTCAAGTTTGTGGGCCACAACCCGTTCGTTAGGGGGTGTTGAAGGCAGTTGTTAACCAGGCCCTGCGACGTTTCCGGCTCGACGAACGGACCGTTTCAAGTCTATTGGATTCGAAGTCCGGGCCCATTCTTTAAGATCAGATCCGGGTGCTTGCGGGATCAGACGCTTCTCGCCCGAAGGTTCCTCGCGCGCCTCCTCCGGTGTACCTGGCGAGCTTCTTTTAAGGACACCTAGATGGCGGGACTTCGCACTCCATCCCACCTGGCGGGACTTCGCACTCCGTCCCACCCCGCATATTAGTTCATTACTTATCGCGAGTCGACTGGTCTTATATACTCGAAATGCCTAGAAGCTACATCGATGACTATCAACCTCACCATCTACGTCTCGACAATGGATGTCATGTTTCCGTACATGCTCCTGCTCGTGTGGCCAACCATGCGACTTTGTATCCTAGCGGGTTAAACATGATTGGGGACACATACCCCCATGCACATCGTAGCTCATCCGGTCAGAGACTATCATGTGCGATCATCAAAGATTGCAGCTGAGCGCTGAACGTTCATGAACAGAGGTACCACGACCACCAACATACGTGCACCAACACTTCCCCGTCACCGCTCCATCGGCACATGAACATACCGCACGCACAACGCTGGTAAGCAAATCCCTTCGCCTGAGCTCGAACCGATACCCAAGTTAGCACGCAGACCACGTATTCTGTAACGGTGTGCTGGGGCATCGTCGCAGCAGCATTGACCCTCGCGAGCAACATGCCGATCTCCCGCACGTTGATAGCGGCCACAGTATGCGGCGCATCAGGAAGTCTCTTCGCCATGGCTGCATTGTCTTGTGATCATCGTTTCGGAGGAGAGTGTTTTGCAGTCATGAGCTTAGCGTGCTCAGTACTCGGAACAGTGTGCGTGGTCGCGGCCATGCAAGAGTTGATCGCGACTGTCTTCGTGGTGGTCTGCATCATAGCAACCTTCGGCGCAATCTGGCGCTCGAAAGCTTCTGGATAGTCGGAGGAGCGTGGCTCAAGTTTGCGTCGCACGTAGGCGCTTACAGACATTGATATCCGAGTCCATGATTTTCTGTAACATACCTATATCGTTAAGCGTGACTTTGTGGCATCTTCGTATCGTGAGGATGGGGAGATTAGACCCATGGGTTTCACTCGACGGCATCTGTGCGAAGTTGGTAGTGGTAAAAGATGGTGTTGGTGGTCAGATCCAAGCCGTGGACGACGGTGGACACACGTGTCGCGCGGCGCCGACAAACACCCACGATCGCGCTTCGACTTGACCGCCGGGCACGACCTTCCAGTACTTCTCAAAGTCGATGTTGACTACCATTGCTATCGGCGTACAACTTGCGGACGTCATTCATTGAGGTTGCCGCCACGAGCGTGCCTCCGGTGAGTCGATAAGGTCGGCCAACAGATCTAACAACTGCTCTTGCGCCCCGAGCCGCCGTGGGGACTCCCTGATGAAATTATCTCAAAAACTACATCGCTATGGAATGCCTGACTGGCACACGTATGTGTCTCAAGTTTGGCATCTGCCGCGGGTACAGTTGCAAGCTGAAATAGCTGCGGAACGGCTGATTGGCACGTGCGTCCAATTGATGGGCTGACACAGGTTCACACAGGATCAGGGAAATACTGGAAAAAGTGTCCCTTTCACACCGTCGGACTGACGCGGCCAATTTGCGTCTTCAAGTCTCTGCTACTTCAACATGTCTATGATACGTACCCTCGCAAGTGAACGCAGGTTAAGCAAGAAAGGCGCGTCTAGTACATGTTGCAGTGACGACGCGCGCGTTCGGGCGTAAGCTTGCCTATATAGTACAGACGCCAGCACGCGAAAACTATGGCGGTCAATGGATTCAACTTCGATGGAAGTGTCATTGCTATAATCGTCCGTTTCACACATCCAGCCGCCGCGCTAGCCTCTTTGGTGCCCGCTTGCTTAATCTATCCATATAGGGTCGCAGGGCGCGAAGTCAATTTAGAGCTTGTGGCCGGAACCTTTTATCTCATGTCCCTGGGGGACGGTGAAAGAGATGATATATACGCGCATATACCTGTCCTTTCGCCAAGTCCGCCTTCGCCGTTACCCTTCACTCCACCCACATTTCTTCGCTCCTCCTGTCTTACCACCATCTCTTCGAAGAACACAGTATAGCCCTTACTGCTCGCTTCAATGATTAGTAGGTTTCATCACCTTCAGATGAACTCCAGTCAGTGCTCTACTTTCGTCGCACCTCCTCAAGCCGCGCGTCAAGCCACGACCTATCGTGTTCCTCAGGACATCGAAGCGAATGCGCACGGTCGGTCATCCGCACATCAGAATCATACCGTCTCGGAGAACTGAGATACAGTGAAGGTACATTGGACGAGCAACTCATTCGGAGTCTACCCTTCACCCGGGGCTTCCTCATACTCCCGGGCTTTTCTCGAAGACGAAACGCCCCTACGCATGATAATATATCTCGCTCTGCTTTGGTGGGTTCTGTCCGTCATGTGCCGTGAATCAGAATCTGGCTCAAGTTTTACGAAGATAACATATTGCGGCGCCGTCTGCGCGAGTATCATCGCGGCAGCGTTGACATTGGCCGGGAACACTTCAATGTCACCGATCTTGGAGGCCGCTATAGCGTGTGGAGCTGTCGGGAGTCTTTTCGTCATGGCAGCCTTAGCCTATGGACAGCATCCCGAGGGCAGACACTATATATACCTGAGCATACTATGCTCTAGTGTTGGGACGGCGTTAGTTGTGGCAGCTATGCGCGCTTGGACAGCCACGCTTGGTGCATGTGCATGCATTATCGTGACGTTTGGGGCTATTTTACGATCGGGAGTTCTGAGCTTTTGATGGCCGAGACGTGATCCGTTTGTAGAGTACATATGCGCCTGCAAGCATCCACAACTGAGGTTGCTCCTTTTGCTCCTCTTGTAGCTCTCACATGCCGCTGGTAGATCGAGACGTGCGTTTGATACAGTGTTGCATCTTCATAGAGTGGTATGCAGCAGCAGGAGGTCAGAGATCGAACGATCGGCTGAGAAGAAGTGGTGGTTGCGGTTCAAGGAGGAATTGCAGCGCACATTGTTGCGCGGGACCTACTTCTCTCATCTCGCGCCCATCTCGCGGTGCAACACTACGTGGCAACCTCGCGCTTTCTGGCGCCCTCGTCGGAGCAGTTTGAGCAACGAGCACAGAAATAGTGAAGCATGTTGGCGATCTGCGATACCACACGCCTCGACTCCACGCAATCTGGATATCGTTTTCTGGAGCCTTCAAAACGCTGCGAGGCGTGACAACGTATTCGGCGATCACGGGTCCCGGTCGCCTTGTGAGTGGTCAATATAGTCTCGATACCTCGCGAGAGGTCTCATCTGAAGTATGACGAGTCAGAATGGGGGCCTTATCGCCACGACATCAAGGCGTCGAGATCTGAGTTGTCAGTCTCGAACAGGCGGCGAGGTGGCGGTCGTGGAACCAAGAGTGACGCGCGAGGGGTACGACGTCGCGGCAGATGGCGAAGCTACAGGAAGCTACAAGCTACCCTTGGCACTAGACCAGTCACTATCATCACCAACATCTCTGGCGACGGTTGGTCCGTCCAGCGCCCTGCCCCACACACTCCAGCTCAGAGGCTAATACAACGATGACCGTAGCGGTCGACCATCCGAGTCTTCCGTGCGCACGAGCGAGTCAATACTTGGCTGCAATGCTTCTGATACGTCTATCCATGGAAGATACTAGGACCATGGGACTTGGGACGTGGTAAGCGTGGAAGCTGTCGGTCTGCACACTACACCCGACGACATCGGTGCCATGCACGCGTGCTATGCTATAGAGTTATGCTGTTCATGACTAGGACTGCCTTATCGAATGCTGTGGATATCTACACGCCGTGAATGGCTAATCTCAAGGCCATCTGCGCACGTCAGCTCAAGTCGCTGTCATGCGCATCAGATGGCCAGCCTGAAGATTGTATGAACCGCGGCACTACGGGCCAGAGAGCCGCTCAATGTACGCGATACGTATCTGGCCATCGATACTGTGCGGAATGTACCGGTCGAGATGGCCGTGATGTCGCAACTCCGCTGCTAACTGGATATTCTTCAAAGATGACAGGCCAAGCGACTTTCACATCTGCCTTACGAATAACGTCGTCGAGACTCGACACAATACGAGTGCTTTAGCATACGTCGCTCGGGTGCTCCTGAATGATTGCCTCGGTATGCCACTCCGCAAGTTTGGAATCGTTCTATCGAAATAACGTCGTCACCAGGCTATGGATCCCTTCAGGAACTTGACGGGCATCTCCCGCCATGCCTCTTTTTCAAGTTGTACTGCCCACGCCATGGCAATCGTGTGTCGTAGCCATGGAAACACGTTCCCATGGCTATGAAGCACCGCACGGTCCCGCTCTGAACGTTAACACCCGCCCCTTCTCCGTTCGGCACATATGCTTCACATGCTTCACACCCGGAGGGAGACGATTCCTACTCTGCAAGCCCCTGTCTCCAGAATCCGGTATAAGTATCCTGGCTATATTATAAGCGTCAAATACACCTTGCGGATCTTCCTGTAATCAAGAGCCGATGGATACGACCACAGGATCCACAACCCGTCTTGATAAGGACCACATATCTTCCACGAATCATCTTATGGAGCCTCGAACCGCCTTTGTGCACGCCACTTCGCAGGCTCATTCGCCGGCATCCATACCCATTACTCTACCGTCCGTCGTGTATGCTGGCAGTGGCAGAGCTGGTAAGAACATCTCGAAGATACGGAGACCTGCTTCTCAGGGCCTGATGCAGAGTTCATGAGAAGCGGATTCTCAAATCGCCCCACGCTTCGTCCCACTTATACAGATACTACGCCACCAGAACACCGAGATCAAGGCCACCCATTGCGTAGCAGCCACGCCACCCACTCTGTGCTGGTGAGCTACCTTACCCGCCGACGTCCATTCAAGACTAAATCGTAGGTGTAGGTCACTTATTCCGTCACTGTATGCTGGGGCGTTATCGCTGCAGCACTGACTCTCGCGAGCAACATCCCGATATCACGCCCTCTAGTAGCAGCTACAGTATTCGGCGCGATTGGGAGCTCAATCGCAATGGCAGCCATGTCCTGCGAAGACGGCCGAGGAGGAAAGTACTTCGCCATGACGAGCCTCATGTGCTCGGCGATCGGGACACTATGTGTGGTTGCGGCAATGCAGGAATGGGCGGCTACGTTGCTCACGGGGTTGTGTATCTTGATAGCGCTCGCTTCGGTGTGGTGTTCGAATATCCTGAGAGGTTCGGGACTCTGAAACCAAAGGTGTAACATAAAGATCCCGTCCCGTGTTGACGCTGGGATTAGCAAGACTGCACGTGGATTATGACCTCCACTGTTTCGACCTTTGTTCATGTATTCTGATGCAATGTGTAGTATACGGTTATCGCAGGACATGCACGAAATATGCTGCAAGACTGAGTTGAGAGATGATCGCGGTCACGGTCCAAGCTGAGATTGATGGGAGCCACCTGGCTCGCGCCGGAACGTCATCGCGAGCGACTACTGTCACCGCGACGGTCACGAAGGGCCAAGCGTCCAAACAAACATGTCAGTTCCATTTCGCTCCGAGGGCGAAGTCGAACTTGCCACACGACCACCATCGCCCGCAACGATGGCCAGCCCATCTGGCCCTTCTCCGACGCCTCGCCGCGTCTTCGGCCGCGGTGGCGAGCCCGACTCGTCCCCAGAGAGCACACGCCGCCAATCTAATACTGGCACTCTTCGACCTGGCCGTATATCATTCTCTCTGCCTAGACCTAATATCGGACGATGGAGGGGAACGGACAGTGATGCTGAAGCGGGCGACAATTCGGTTACGAGTCCATCTGGCGACAAGCCGCCCATTCCCAGTGCGCTGCAGAGCGCTGCGGAGGTCAACGCCACACCTCTGCCTACTCTATCCATGCTTGTACTGTCTATTGTGCGTCTACAACTCTGTTTTAGAAAGCTTGGAAATACGTTCTGAGGCTGGTCTTGGTGACAGACATTACTGGGAGAGTTCTTGACTGCGAATGTCTCAATGCCTTTCATTCTCTTCATGGTCGAAGGTACGCCGTCACATATGAGCTCCATAGGTATATTGGCTCACATATCCCCTACAATGAAGGTTTCAGCGAGTTCAAAGATGACGACGAAGCCGATGTAGGCTTCTGGACAGGGATCCTCGGTGCGCTCCTCCATGACGCCAACTAGTGCGCGCACGTATGCTCACGCGCCCTCCGGCACCGCGCAGTTTCCACATTCTTTCTGACCCAGTTCGTGACTTCGCTACTTTGGGTAAGTCGTACCTTGCACCGAGCCTTTCTTATCACTGATCAACTTTCACAACGTCAGGCTACTGTCGCCGACAAACACGGTGCTCGACTGGTCTTAACAGTCGCATTGTTCGGAGGATCCCTGTCTTGTGCATTGTTTGGAACATCAACCAGTTTGCGTCAGGCTATTTGCGTGCGCCTTGTGCAAGGCATCTTTGCCGGTGCCATCGGTGTCGCTCGCGGCTGTGTAACGGTTATCACCGATCCTTCGAACGAAGGTCGCGCCTACGCCATTCTGGGTTTCTGTTGGGGTTTTGGTGGTGCAGCAGGAGCTATCATCGGTGGACTATGTAGGTTATACTTTGATCGTTCTGGACTTTGTATTCTAACGCGCAATCTACAGTCGAAAGCCCAGCTACGAAGTGGCCTGGTGTTTTCAGCGATGTGGCGTTATTCACGACATATCCATACCTTCTCCCAACCCTCGTCGCTGCCTCGGTCACATTCTTCGGCGGCATCCTCTCATTCTTCCTTGGTCCGGACGGTGGCCCTCGCGGAGGCGCAATCCGCCTACCCATTGAAAAGGACGATCCAGCGTCGGCCTCCGCGCCCGGAGCGAATGTACCCAGTACGATCCCCGAGGATGCTACTGCACCTCCCTCGCCCGTACTCAGCCCAACTGAGCCTCGTGGTCCATTGGGTGGCCTGCGCCGCGTATCCAGGAAACTATCAGGTTACTTCGGCGGGTCTCCAGCGCCTGAAGCATCGCCGGCGCCTACACCCGTCCCGATGCCATCTCGTGGCATGCGCCGTACAAGCCGTGCGAATGGTTCCGCATATGGATATTCGATAGGCGCCGGTACGCCTGTGGCGCGCACAGCATCCTTCCGCGCGCGTCTCGCGAGCGGCGCGTCGGCACGGCGCCCGTCCATCGTCCCAGGTTCATCGCTCCGCGCACGCGGCTCCGTAGGCGCATTTGACCGCGACTCCCGTCCGTCTTTTGGTGGAGGTGGTACCGGAGGGGAAGACCTCAACTTCGCACAGCGTCTGCTGATGGCAAATGAGAATGCCGTGACGAATATCGCGGATTTGTGGGTTGCCGCGGCGATGAATGTGGATAATGAAGAGGTGTTTGAGAGTGACGATGAGGACGGCGAGGATGGGATCGGGGTTGGTGCAGGGGACGATATGCCAGTGTTCGACTGGGACAGTGAGGGCACGCCAGCCAGGGAGGATACGCCCAGCCGACCGGGAGGAAGCAGGCTAAACCCTGCGTACGGAAGCTTGCAAGGCTCGCCGGGTGCTCGTCGCGCGAGCGGGTTTGCTGCGCGTAGACCCTCGCGAGGGACGCTCACGGATGCAGGCGGAACCCTACGCCGCGCGTCCGGTGCACCGAGCATCTTCGCGCATCCCGGCGTACGCACACCGCAAGCGGTCGTGGATGCACACAAGCTTCTCGAGTCCGAAGACCCCTTCGCCGAACCCGTTGTACCGGAAGCCGCAGACGAAATACAACCTCCGCAACAGGGAGTTTGGAGTCAATTGCCGCTGTTGATCATCATACAATATGGGCTGCTGGCACTGCACACGACGACGCACGACATGGTCTTCTTGAGTTACTTAGTCAGCAAGTACGAGAGCGGAGGGTTGAATTTGAATGCGAGCCACTTCTCGCAGCTCAGTGCGTGCTGTCTTCCGTCACGACCGTTGCCATATGGCTGACTGCATCGCAGCTGCACTCATGTGCTTGTTCCAAGTCGCATACCAATTTTACTTGTACCCCAACATCGGGTGTGTACACTGATCCCGCATGATTCGTTCGTTCTGACGCCTCGATGATAGCCCTCCCCGCGGGCGCTTCAGCCATCTGAGCATGTTCCGCATCGGCACTCTTCTCTTCATCCCCGGATATGTCACTGTCACGCTCTACCGCGTATTTGCGAGCGCGGACGACGACGGAAACGCGATCCTCATGACAGCTTTAGCGGTCTCCGCGTACGTGCTTCTCCCTTCCGCATCTCCCATCAGTCTTCTCACGCTTGCCCGCCAGCGCTGTTCGCTACTGCGGTAGCACATTCGGTTACACCTCCATCTCGATCCTGCTCAACTACATGTCTCCCCCTCCGCTCGTCGGTCTCGCGAATGGTATCGGACAGAGTATCGTCTCGCTCGCTCGGTTCTTCGGTCCTATCCTTGGTGGATACATCTGGAGTATGAGTGTCGAACGGAACCCGACAGGGTTCTGGATCCCATTCTTCATCTGTGGTGCGATTTGCGCAGTCGGATTGGCGCATAGCTTCTTCATTCGCTAGATGATACAGTACAGTAGACTTGATTGCTCGCTTACTCGCGCCTTTGCTAGCTACATACATGACCTTGCATACGTATACGGTTTCGGTTCTGTCTTCATGATATCCTGGTTACGTCGATCATATGTACACCTCCCCTCACGAACTGGATCATTACTTTTACCCCTGCCTCTATCGCTATTACCTCATCTATCGTGATCATCTTCGGCACCGCGTTTAGTGGCCGCGCAACTCGCACTCTTGGTTGAGGAGAGTGATCGCTTCGGGGAAGCGAGGTTCGACCTCAACGCCGAAGGGTACGGGCCGTCTGCGAGAGTGTCAGCTAGGCGCTAACCCGCCATATATAGATGGTGCTTACACAACGAGACCGTCTTCGACGAAACCGTCGACGTCGAGTTCTTTGCCTTTCTCCTTGGTCAGAGAGAACGCCCAGAGGCACGTCGCGATGTCGATGAAGAGACTGTTGTTGGCGACATGCCTCCCAACGCAGATGCTACCGAGCGGTCAGCGCACGAATGGTCACACCATCAAACCAGGCTCACCGCCGGCCAAACCCTGAGCTAGTCAGCAGAACCAAAGTATGCTATGCAACGAACGTACTCACCGAACGTGAAGTGGCTCTCTTCCTTGGTGTCAACGGGTCCAGCCGTAACCTCGCCCTTCTCGTCAAGATGGCGCGCAGGGTTAAAGTGATGAGCATCAGATCCATAGATCTCAGGATCGCGGTTGAGCTCCCAGACATTCGCGACGACGATGGTGTCCTTAGGGATGAAGTGGCCTTCGTAGTAGTCATCCTCAATGCTGCGGTGTGGGCTGTGAAGTTCATCACATCAGATGCGGCACTGCGTGAAAGTGATTGTAGGACACTCGCAGTCCTACGGGGTCGACGGGACGCCATCGAAGAGCCTCCTTGACCATGGCACGGATGTAGGGAAGATGAGGGAGATCGGCGAAAGTCGGTAGACGCGTCCGGCCCACGACGGAGTCGAGTTCTTCTTGTGCGCGCTTCTGTACTTCTGGATAAGCGAGCATAGCCAGCGTCCACCAGCTCATCACGGCAGATGTCGTCTCCGCACCAGCAGCACTAATAGCTAGAGTTAGAGTAGTCGCACGCAACATAATCAAGACGACGTACTACATGGTGCCTGCTAACCACGAGTTCTCGTCTTTGCTCAACCCGTGCCGACCAGAATCTCTGATGAGCGTGGCGCAGAGAGAAGCGCGTTCGTCGCCCTTGGCCTAGCGCAAGATGGCTTCAGGAATCTAGTATTGGGCAACATATATGCACATACCACGTTTTCTTGCACACGCGTGAACAGATTGCGGAACATATCACCGTCTTTCCTGTTCCATTCCTCTGCATTACGTTTCCATGCAGCGAATTGACTAGGGATGTGGCGCATCCAGGGCATCATCTCAACCTGGAACGAGGAAATCAACGCCAATGCGAGAAGCATGCAACCGTATGAACGTACCCAATGTGCACCGGGATATGCCGCACGAGTCAGCCGCTGAACGAAGTCGTTGATGAGGCTGACGCGAACGTCCTGTTCACTGACAATCTGTGACTCTTAGTATGAAGACCAATTTGATGCACTTCAAGGGCTTACCGGCGGTTCGTCGTATACGCAGGACAAGACCATACTGGCCGCAGCGCGACGCAAATGCTTGTCCCAAGCCGCCGAGTTCTTCAGGCCATCACGGGCCAGGAGAAGCGCCTCCGTCGTCTGATAGTCGTAGAAGTCCTTCACAACGCCCTTGTTCAAACCTTCGTGCGCAGCTTTCCGCATGCGACGCCACCTGCACGACATAAGACCGCGAGTCAACGCGCAATGAGGTTCGCACGCACACATCTCCGTAGCGAGTGAAGACTACGAGAAGACCGCTAGTCATGATATCAGACGCAACTATGAACTGGGGACGGTCCGAGTATATCCCAGCTCGGCGGTCGAGTAGGTCCGCTGCGGCTTTCTGGCTGTTCAGGACTACCATTGGCTGGCCGGCAGCGTTGAGGTATATGACGTCTCCTGCAATGGTGATAAGAGGGTTGATTCAGATAAGCACCGACGCGCTATTTGAATTTACGTACCGTAGGCCTTGCGCCACGCGCTGAACTTGAGCCATTGCTTGTCCACCAGTTGAAGCGCGTTTCCAAGGATGGGTACGCCAGGAGGACCTGGAGGAAGTTTGCGCCACGGACTGGTGAAGTAGCGGACTATGGTAGCCAGAAAGAGACCCGCGACGACACCAATTGACAGGGTACGGTTCTCGCGTATCGCTCCCAACACCCTTTCATAAGGGATCCTCACCAGAATGGGAGTGGGGATATATGGGCTAGTGGAGGCCATCGGGTGCGGTGTTTACTAAGAGAATCGGGAAACAGGGGATGTTAGGGCCTTTAAGCCGTCGAGTGACATCTTCCATATCTCATGGGCAGGCCAAACAGGCAGTTGTAGAAGGTGACAGACGTCGTTCAAAGATGTCAGTATCATGACCATGACCGTTCGGGCCAAGGAGCGTGCGAGCCGAACACGCGCGGGTTCGGTCCGAATATGTCCGACACGCGGCCGGGTCGCTGACGATCTCGCTTCCGACCACCATGAAGTTGTTACTGTGTACTCAATCGCAGGTTTCAAGCTGCGCCATATATGGATTACAGCAGTACATCTCATAGATTGCTCATCGGTAGCGAGGGTGTGCGTGTGGCTATGGTAGCGATACCTCGCCTCGGTCCCCGAAAAGGTCGACGACCAACAATCCAATGTACCACTCTGGTGATATATACAGCGTAGAGGACAGCCTTTCAACGGTACCGCCCCCTCCTCCGTGGACAAGACATAACTCATCCCGAGCCTTCTGTTATGAGTGGCCTATCGAGCATTGTGCTGGTCTGTTCTGTGCTTGCTGGCGTGATCCACTTAAGGCCGACCACACGCAAACGTGTCCCGCCTGGACCCCGAGGTCTGCCACTCATCGGCAACCTCCTCGACCTCAACAGCCCAGATGTTCACATCAAAGCTTGCGAATGGTCGCGCGAGCTCAGTATGAGTCCACCTCCGCTCCCTTTACGCTCCAGTTGACTGACCACGAGTGCTTAGATTCAGACGTCATCTCTCTCAATGTGATGGGCAACACCATGATCATCTTGAACTCAGCTCGAGCGACATCGGACTTATTCGATAAGCGGGGTGCCTACTACTCAGACCGTCCTGATATGCCCATGATCGTTGATTTGATGGGCTGGGACTGGACGTTTGCGCTGATGCGTTATGGCCCTCGCTGGAAAGAGCATCGTCGTGTATTCCACACCCACTTCAATCAAGATGCCACGGAACATCAGGGCATTCAGCTCACTATCGTACAAGAACTACTTCGTAGTCTCGCTCGCTCACCAGAGAGTTACCTGGGACATCTGCGACAGTATGTCTGCCCTCTATGCACATTCTGCCCTCGCTCATCGCTATGATCAGCTATGCTGCTCATATTATCATGAAGAGAGTGTACGTCGGACACATCTCTATAGGCATCAGTCAATGAAGGTTATCAGATACGGCCATACAGTCCAGGACGATCAAGACCGCTTCGTGCGTTTGGTGAAAGAGGCGTCCGCGACCACGTCAGAGGCTGCTGTTCCAGGCGCGTTCTTGGTCGACCTATTCCCTAGTCGTGAGTCGCCACCGGACGATCTGTCGAAGCAGGCCTGACACTCTTGTTAGTCAAGTACGTACCAGAATGGATGCCCGGTGCTTCATTCAAGCGAAAGGCACGGGAATGGCGACAACTGGCTCAGGATATGATCAATGCACCGTACGATATGGTGAAGGCCAGTTTCGTGAGTCCGGCTCGTCAACATCTTCACTTGCCTCTCATCAGGCCAGGCTGAAGGCAATGCCGAACCTTGTTTCGTCGCCACATGTCTTGAGCAAAATGCGACCAAGGCGATGGATGGCGAGAAGGAGTATCTCAGCGAAGAACTCATCAAAGATACAGCAGCAGTGGCATACGCCGCCGGGGCGGATACGGTAAGTCTCCCAGTACATAGTCTGAGCGGTGACCTGGCATATCATCGTCTGCAGACTGTATCGACATTGACGGCGTTTATCCTGGCTATGACCCTGCATCCGGATGCTCAACGGAAGGCTCAGGCCGAGATCGACGCGCTTCTGAGCACGTCTAGTCGCCTTGATCGCCTCCCGATGTTCGCGGACAAGAACGACTCGCCATACGTCGATGCCATAATCAAGGAGGTCTTCCGGTGGTTTCCTGTTCTTCCCTTTGCGGTTCCTCATCGAGCAACGCACGACGCAGTCTACAAAGGGTTCCTCATCCCCAAAGATGCGACTGTCATGGGTAACGCATGGTGAGCCTCACAGATCCTGTGCCTAACTATATGCTGAGATGTCTCGATAGGGCGATCTTGAATGACCCCCAAGTCTTCGTCAACCCCGACAGCTTCAATCCGGGTCGCTTCGTCGACACGCCGTCTCTACCAAACCCTGCCGATCTAGGTATCTTTGGCTTTGGAAGAAGGTGCGTGTGATGAACTATGTGTCATTCTTCCAACTGACCTCTGCGTGATAGAGCCTGCGCCGGTAAAGTCATGGCTCTTGACACCGTCTGGATTGCCGTCGCATCTATTCTTGCCGTATTCGACATTCGCAAGGCCACCGATGCCCAGGGTCATGATATTATACCTGAACTAAAGATTGAACCGGGTAGTATAAGGTCAGAGCATCATGCATGTACAACATCAGGGTACAGCTGCTGAGCAAATACTGATTACTTTAGACACCCATCGCCTTTCCTTTGCTGCATTAAAGTGCGCGAACAAGCCTCGCACCTTGCAGCTATATTCGCGTAGCTGCATCTCATCCAACAGATATGATACCATTACATGCAACGTGTACACAGAGGGGAGCACGCAGACGCTTTATTCTGTACAACCGAGTAGAGGACGGTCAACGACTGACATATGTCCACGAGCTGATGTGAGCGGGCATATTATGAGCTGTACTAGTCTTAGTGTTCGCTTGTATTGGACATTCGAATGCATCTGTGGCTTTTATGCACGGCGAAAGACAAGGCTCGGCTTCTAAGCGAGCGTCGAAGGCAACAAATATTGGTCGGAGGAGGTCCGCGGCGCGTCGCGGCGCCAACGGACCGATCGCCGAGACGCGACCGCGCCAAGACCGCGCGTTTGTCGCGCGTCTTGCCTGCAACGACCATCTCTTTGACAGTGACGGCGACAGTGCCAGCGCACGCACTTCCTTTACGCCCTCACATATACTTGGAACCTCCTCCTATACACATAAAGCGGTTTCCCCAGTCGATTCATGGCCGGCGCTTGTCCCTCAGCACTGAACCTTCCTGCCGATGTTCTGCTCGATTTAGGATCGCTTTTCCGGCCGCGCCCATCCGAGATAGAAGATGAACATCTGGTAGATCGCACCTCACTATGGACGTGGGCATCTCTCCCGGCGGTGTGCAAGAAATGGCGTGATGTCTTTCTTGGATCGCCTGCACATTGGTCCTATATCGTACTTCCTGTCAACCATGTCCATCCAAGACGCATCTTCGCGCGTGCGCAAGGCGCACCCCTAGACGTGTACATCGAAGTTGTGGACAATATGACCATCGATGAAGAGCAACGGCTTGCAGACGGACTCTCGTTGCTCGAGGAGTACTCGCAGCAGCTGAGGTTGTTCTGCCTTCGCAACAACGGCACCCAGCCTATTCGGAAAGCCTTGTTGACGTGGATCTTTGAGATCCTCGATCGTCCCCTTCCCCAGCTGAGCCATTTGTACTTTCACGACGGCCTACCCCCACCGTGGCAGCGTGCCACTGCTCTTACTCGGGACATCGCGTTGCAGGCGCCCGCTCTCCGCTCCATGTCCACCCGAGGTTATCATCGTCTAAATTGGACGCACAAGACGGCCGACGCGCCTGAGCTACGTAACCTTCGCCTTGGGTTCCTCAATTTCCATCACATGCGCGGCGCGCTCGCGTATCTACCTCATCTTCGTTCGGTGGACATCGATCTCGGTGAAGGGCAACTCGCCCAAGGCGTTTCCTGGATACCGACCCCGAGATCCTTAGTTTGGCCGTCGCTTCAGGAGATAACGTTGCGCTGCCACCCCAGCGATGTTGTTGTCTTTTGGGAGGCTCTCGATATCCCGCGCTTAGTCGAAGCGGAGCTCATCATTCGTCACATGAGCCCGTTCATTGCCCACGCGGAATTGCAAACATCGCTTTCCACGGCCCTTGCTCTTTTCCTACCAAATCGTACCAACGATCCCGATCTCCTCATGCATGATGCTCTCACCTTAACGTGTCCTGAGGATGAGGCTACCGTTGTATTTCAGTGGTCCACAGGGGGGACCGATGTGCATGCACTGGACGCAATCCATGACGATATAGAAGGATTTACGGCCAAACCCCGCTCTACGTCCATTGCAATGGACCTCGTAGTAGTCCCAGGTGCCTTAGATCTCCAGAGGACATACTTCGACAACCTGAGGTCACTCTGTTTTGATCTCGATGATATCAAGGGGCGAATAATGGCGACCTTCATGTTGGATTACGTACGGAGCTGGTCCTCGGTCCAGCTGTTGCGCATTCACGGCCACGATACCGCGGAATATATTCTCGCTGTCCTTACAGCCGTTGCAGATTCGTGTTTCTTTGACCTTGGCCAGCTTGTCATAGGAAAGGTGGATCTCACATCGGAAGGTATAAGGCGTTCCCTGATCGCGTTTCTTGCTTCTAGGGGGGGCGATCTGGAGACTCTTACTTTTTGGCAATGTACTAGGTCCGCAGATCTGGACTCGAGACTTTCTCTCTACCCTATTGATGTTACCTATGCGGATGAGATACAGATATCGATGTTACAGTCGTAATACAGATCTCCTCATTCGCTGCTTGCAATTCATGTCATTGATTTGCTTTTTGCGCCTACGCCTCATGAGGGCAGAGCAAGGATACCAATATGAAGGTATCATCCATGGCTGCAGTATGCACTATACAAGATGCCGCTCACTAGGTCTCCGAGTCATGGGTTGGCATCAAGCGAGACATCGTCGACGCAACGACCGGAGCGTAACTAATATCAGCGGCATGACGCAACCTGTGCGCGCGTCTGGTCCGAGCTTCTAGAGCTATTGAGAGTGTGTGCATTTGCCCCAGAGATTGGGCCAGCGATGAGGCGAGCAAACCTCGCTAACGGTGATGAAAGGAGCTGACAAGCAACGCACGGCAGCGCTCGCTGCCTCGGGCTGGACTTGGAGATCTTTCCCGCGCTCGCGCCTGGAGGTCGACAGTTGAGTTCGACTCAAGTCGCCATAACCGTGGCTCACTCATGGCCGAACTCTTGCATGTCCTATGCATGCACTCTATCGAGACAGCGCTCATCATCCGGGCTTCTAAGATACATATGCAAGTACTCTACAGTGCACATAGATCTAGAAACCATCAAAGCGTCACGACAAGCTTGACCCCGCTAACTCCCTTCTGGAGCCTAGCGAGGCCGTCTGGGATGGCTTCAAAGCCATGCCCGATGACCTCAACCTTGTTGGGCTAGAACAGTGATCAGTATCGTACCGTTTGGGAGGTCGGCTCATGGAGTACACACCTTGAGCTCGCCCTTCTCGAGCATCTCTGTGAGTGCCGCATACATGCCCGTTCCGAACTCCTGGTGATCAGGCTCGTTTGAGCCGCCATACACCCAGACAGCGCGCCTTCCCTTCTCGTCGTCCTTTCCCGGCGCACCGATGTCCTTCGATGGGACATTGACGACCACGATGGCACCACCGGGAGCAAGTACGTCCCAACCAGCCTTCTGCGACTCCGGCGTGGTCGCCGCATCGTAGATATAGGTAATCGGCAGGTCTCCCGCGATCTTCTTCACGGTGGCGGGAAGCTCCGGGTATGGCACATCGTGGTAGTCAAGGACATGCGTCGCTCCGGCGCTCTTGCAGTACTCTTCATTGTGCTTGGAGGCCGTTGTGACGATGATGCTGAAACCGCCCAGCTTGGCGAGTTGAATGGCTATCGTACATTCAATCTTCTGACGTGAGGAGGACCAGACATCGTGCGTACCGAATTGACCGACAGAACTTGAGCCGCTCATGATCACGGCGACTTGTCCGGCGTACTTTCCCCGTCCATCCGCCTCCCACGGCGGGGTGAGACCCGCGCCACCGATATCATGCTTATCCGCGGGGCGAACCTCTGAGTGCCTAGGCTTGTATGCGCCTATGGCAGCGGTGGCAAGACCGAGCGGCAGAGTGACAACCTCCTCATACGACAGGTTCTTCGGCACCTTGGCGATACGCGCCGCATCCGCGATCGTCAACTCTTGAAACGTGCCGCGGTCAGACTCGAAGACCGACTGGTAGAAGACCTTGTCTCCGACTTTCCATCCGGTGACTCCCTCGCCAAGTTCAGCAATCTTTCCCGCACCATCGCTGCCGACAACGGCCGGGAAGTCTTTCCAAAGGCGGGGACCGTACGGACCCTATTCGGCATTGCGTTCCGCATTGTGAGACGCCTGCCAGCAATAGAGGTAGAGACAATACTCACCTGGATAACGTAGTCCACCGGGTTCAAGGCCACCATCTCGTTTCGTACCAGGACTTGACCGGGGCCGGGTTTGGGTGTGGCACGCTGGGTGAGCTGGAAGTCTGCGCCAGTCGCGGGGATGATAAGAGCAGTGTGCTGAGCAGACATGATGTTCAGGAATATTTCGACAGGGGAGGATGTAATGTTAAACTCACCAGCTACCCTATCCATACTTTATACCGTCCCCTGGACTCCCGAACCCACATCATGGCCCACGCACTCGTCCGCATTCTGCGTGGTCAGAGCTACTCAGAGCGGACTGCAGACCGTCCGGCGCGATACTCCAGGATGAAAGAGGCCAACACATCATCTCATGCGGAGGCGCTTCAGGCGGGTGATCCTTGGGAAGGCGGGAAAGCCGTTCCGGATTCCTGAGCGTCTGAGTTTATATGCAGCCCACAGACGGCAAAGATCCCGAGTCTTTCAGACGTATATGACACAGTGGTACGCAATTGGGGTAGGCATTGCGATCGCCAAGTCAGATGAGCTCAGCGCATTGCCAGGGCGTCATCCCGTTGACTGTCGAAGTAGCAGACGCGATGCATCGGCACTGTGAACCACCAGGATCTGCCCGAATCACACGCGTTTGGATTCCTAGCGCTCTTCCAGCCTGAAGGCCGTCTCAACCTGGGCAGGTGAATCACAGGAAGACATGGCGCACGAGTGTAGGTTTGGTGTAGGTGGTGGTTACAGACAAGCACCTCGAGCCTCGAGGCAACTACGCCTCGACTGTCGTCATCAAAACCCTCTGCCGCTTCGTTCAAGTTCTCGTCTTTCCCTCATGACCGCAGATACCCTGCTCATGGAACAATCCGAAAATTTTCTGCCACATATCGACTCGAGTATGTCCGTTAGGATATCGCCGCCTTCTTTCACCGGTGCAACTACTTATCGATGGTCTTCGGCCAACGTGGCACTACAAAGGAGGTGCATTTCCTTTTCCGGGCATTATCTTTGTTCCGGTAGCCTTTGAAGAGCCGCGCTACATCGTCGCCTCGCTATAAAGCTACGTCTACCGCGGGCGCGCGATCCTTGTGCACTCCGGATCGACCCACGAACATCCTCATCTCCTCTTCATCCGTGCGCATATTCTCGCTCAGGATCTCCTGAGAGTCAAAGTCTAACTTGTATCTCTGCAGGCTTTCATACTGAACAAAGTATGATGGACGTCGACGTCGCGATGGAGGACGCTGGTCTTTGCCACATACACCGTATCCTCACGACGGACGATATCCTCATCGAGATATTCTCCTACCTCCCGTCCTTCGACTCCGTTGGACCTTGGGGGGCGGGCTCTGAGAACCGCCGACCACAAATACTAGTCGCCTCTCACGTATGTCGCCGCTGGAGAGAACTTGCTATCGGTTGCCCCGATCTCTGGACGCACATCGTAGTGGTCGGACCTACTTGGATCGAACTCTTCATCGAGCGCTCGCAAACACTACCCCTGACCGTGACATGCCACTATCCCCTCAAAGAGCGGTCAATAACCCAGAAGAAGCGTGTCGTATGTGCTATCTTCAATGCACTTCCACGTATCTGTGTGCTTTCGGTTTATGACGCCGATTGGCTCCTGATGTCTCTTCGGGGCCACAGAGAATGCGAGAGCGCTCGCTTTGATTTCGTCTACGAGGCTGCTGGACGACTCTTACACTCCCTCCCTGCCTTTAATCACTCCGATTGTTCGAATACTTCGCACTGGCCAACTGGTCCCACACATTTGCCAACGATGCTTCGTCGCGTCGACCTCACGCACAACAAGCTCGACGCCGTTATCCACAACCCGAGATTCTTTCAAGCTCCATTGACATCGCTTACGATGGATATGGTAGATGTCGGCACTCTTACAGAACTCGTGGACGCCCTGATTATAGTGCAATCCACCCTCAATTACCTATCGATGTGCCGCATATGGTTCTCGCATCCCAGCGACCAGCGCAACATGGTCCCTACGCCACGCAGTGCCAACATGTTCACACTGCAAAGCCTGCGCATCATCGAAAAGGCACCCATCGCGCTCGCGCTCGCCGAATCACTCATACTGCCTCCCTGCCTTGAACTCGTGCTTGCTATTCTTCCTCCGGAGCCTAAGCCAAGTGACCCAGAATGGACTGACGCGTTTGAGGCACGCCTTGACGATGTGGACGACCGAGTAAGTCAACTCTTGTATTCGCAATACGCTGCTGCGAGCGCCGCGGGGGAGCGTTTCTCCGCCCTCCACATCATGAATCCGACCGGACCTCGCTTCGACAGCAATCGATGGTTGCAGTATTACGACGAAGAGAAGAACGGGAACTTCAATTATGAGGACATGATATGCTGCGAGATGCTGGAGCCGGAGACAGAAGGTACCCTTCCGGCGCGTCTCACGGTCGCGCTTCAATACTACGGCTTCGCTCCGGACGAAGCCGCGATGCGCTTGCTGGACCTCTTCCCGCCATCGAACGGTGTCCGCACCCTATACACTAGTGAATGCCTCACTGACGATTGGGACGCGCTCGCCCAACGCGCACCGGCAGTCGAGCAAATCTATATGGACGCTTGGGTCGCCGACGAGTTCGAGGAGGTTGGGGGCGAAGAGCTCTTCCTGGCTCTGCGTTCGACTATTGTTGAAGACGAGTCGCCGGGAAATTCGGCGAGAAGGACTGTATATGGTATGGCGATGCGCGATGAGATGTAATATCAAGATGCCAGTATGATAGCTCATGACACGTATGGACTGTCTCCAACGATCATCCGACTGCGATACTATCCGCTTGCATTCTCACTTCTCGCCGTATCTATCCAAGTAATCGTGTTCTGTTTCAGACGCAGGAATGATTCCCAGAGCCAATATATATTGATCAGCAAGTATTGCGAGCGTCTTACTACAGTCCCAGAGAATAGTCATAGCGATCATCCTTCCCGGACGTGCAAAAAAGCGCGAACTGGGCCGCTATTACCCCAACATAGTCTACCTACGCATTAACAGGCCTGATAAGCAGAGGAAGCTGATTCCCCGCAGCCGGATTCGTCGTCAAACTCGGCCTCCCAACGATCATCGTCTTCCTCATGATGTCCATAGGCGATATAGGCAGCTCGAACTCGAAAGAGCGCACGATAGTGAACAGCAGCGCTTTCATCCTTCAACGAAGATCAGATTCATCCGGAAGAGTTGAGAGTGGAAGACACGTACTCGGCGATGGAGAAGCGGTAGCCGATGCATGCGTGTGTACCAGCGAAGAATGTGAGCATGTTGCCGAATACACCTGGAAGCTCTTTGACTGCGTCGGGGAGTTGCGACCACCGCTCGGGCCTTTGTTAAGCGATCAGCGAGAGTGACATGGCGAGTGGGCGGAGGGGATTTCGTACCGGAACTGGTGGGCGTCTTCGCCCCAGTACTCCTCCCATTGGTTCAATACTTGAATCATGAACACGATGTTATCGCCCTTCGATACGCTAGAGAGGCATCTCGTCAGCCTTATCCGCGGTATGAGTATGAGGTTGTGACCGAGGACACTCACTGTATCTCATTCCTCACAACTCCATCCGTACCGACAATGGGTGTCCGGAGCGGCACGATATCGTCCCTAACCGCTGTACGATCCGTGGCGAAGACCGGCGCATATGCGCGCAGAGTTTCGCGCACGACAGCGTCGAGGTATGGGAGGGCGTTCAGTTCGCCTTCAGTGGGAGTGTCGGTGGGATGAGAGAGGAGTTCGGCGCGCAGTCGTTGCTGCACTTCTGTGTGGCAGGCCAGCGCGTAAAGAGCCCAGGTGACTGCCGTGCTGGAGGATGACACCCGTCAGCTTACGTGAACCGAGATATTCCTGTTCGCGAGCCTCACCTGGTTGCTGAAGAAGAGTGTCTAGGTTAGTTCGCGATCCTTTCTCTTATATGAGTACTCACTCTCATGCTACAGAACGTTCAAGTCAGTTACAACTCCAACTGAGGCAGTAAAGCCGCTTACCCCTGCAATCAAGAATGTCGGCACTTGCGAAACCTAGAAACACCATCAGCACCTCATCACCCATTCGCAAACTAGACGCCGTACAATATCCTTATCACTCATCCGCGCGCTCTCGGGAAGATCGCTCGCCATATTCGCCCTCAGAAGCAGACTGAGCAAGTCCGAACCCTGAATATCCTTCTTCTCGAGCTGCGCGTCCGCCCCTCTCGAGATCTCACGGATGATGGCTTGCTTCTTCTCGGCGATGAGACGCATGCCGATGGCGGTGATCTGTTTCTGGGCTTTGCCTTGTTCGCGGACGCGTTTGGTGGGCTGAGTGATACAAGTAGGTTAGTTGCGGTGTGCGGATATAGAGGGAGGTGGGCTCACGATGCGTCGGGCGCCGGGAATCATGAACTGAAGCAGTGTGGCTAAGCCGCCCTCGAATGAGAAGATCGTCCGCACGGCCTCGTTCAGCTCATTGGGATGTTCGTCGGGCGCATGCAAAGAGTCGATGTCGTAGTCGAACCCTGGTCACAGTAGTCAGACCTCTGCTAGATCACAAGAGAGAGAAAGAATGTACCTGCAAGACCGATGATGTCCAGCGTAACCTTGTTCAACCACGCGAACGCGTCGATGCGAAGGTAACCGTCCTTGCGCGTCGTATCGCGGGCGCACATGTCTAGCCAGATATCGCGCATCTCGAGGGACTTGCGGATGAAGGTCTCTGTGAACCTTTTTACTTGCAGTGGACCAAAGGCGGGACTCTGTGTAGGCACATCGTGAGCATGTAGTCAAGTCGAGCATGGGAGAGAACGTACCATCACGCGGCGCTGTTTCTTATGCTCACCGCCCTCCACAAAAAGCAGACCTTCACCAATGATATCACCAAGGATATTCTTCAACCTCTCTCCCTTCTCAAACGCCGGACTATGCAAGATATGCTTCAACGCCGTAGGATCAACCGTAATGATTGCCGGCCTCGCGAAAGAGTTCCAGATACGGATCGTCGGGCCGTACTTCTTGAACCAAGACTCGTGCAGATACAACGCCGCATCGTCAGAAGGTTGAGGTGCTGGGACACTCCCGTACAAGAAGCTTTCGTATGCTGGCCCTGGAAGAATATAGGCGGGCCATTTCAGATGGCGGTATACGGCGCAGGCGACGACGACGGCGAGGGTGCCGATTATGGTCGCTGCTGCTCTCAACTCGGGTCGCGGTGCCACGAGAGAGAAGTCTAAGAAAGCCATGCCGAATCTGGAGTAGAATGGACAGGTCGGTGAAGTTGTAGGAACGTTATATATTGGACGCTCGCGGTGCTCATTGGCCGTTTACCGTGGAATTCCGAGCAGGGACGTCAGCGTTTTCGAGTCTGCTGCAGGACTGTGCCGCTGCGGGAGAATACGCGGCCTGCGTCGCGTGAGCGCATGTCGGTCATCGCAGCAAGTATGTGGTTCTATGTGCTGTATTGCCCTGGCGTATAGCGCTCGTCGAAGCCTCGAAACGAGGAGAGACGCGAATCCGGGCCAATGACTGGTGGGCGATGACAAGTTCCAACGCGCGATCAACACACGCCATCACGACATTCGGCAGCTTGCGTCACCTTCGAGTGCGACCACCAGGACGACCTTGCGATTATATTATTCACAGTACACATAGTGCGGACCGTATATGACCAACTTGCGCTCTCGAAAATGCTCGCTCCCGAGCACGCGCACCTTCAAGCAGCCCGACCCGAGCGAGGTCCTATCCGACGGCCGTCCCTTGCTGGCATCCACCTCGCCCTACAGTGCCGTTACATCAAGCATAGCTCTCACACTTTTTGCATTGCATCCTCTATAAGGCTTAGACGCGTTTCTGAGCGACTTGCCACGTTAAGTTGAGATCGTACCCGCAACTCACACGAATGGTGCGCCTTGAAGTCGAGGGGCAGCTATCCGAGAGGAATCCAGGGCTCACATCGCCTCCAAAGTCGGTCTTCGTTCGCGCCCCAACCATCCTGGATTATCTGGCTGCCATGCTGGATGAAGACACCGTAGTGGATTGACATGATCATCTACTTAGATGGATGAAGAAAAAGAGTGTCATCACTCGGCGGACAACTATCTTCATCTCTCTTCCAGAGCGAGATTGCTGAGCGCTGACCTCAGAAGGCGCTACAAGTCCGAAAGTACGTGACGTATCCGCGAATACATAATGTATGCTCATGCTGTGCCAAGTCCCTGAATGGCGTCAAATACGAGCTTCGCGGCGGGAAGGTTTGGCCTCGCCAGCGTAACTGGCAACTGGGCCACCTACATAGTTCGCTGTACCCCCGGTTAGGATGCCCTCTTCCCACCTTCTTGACAATCGTGCATGAATGATACATGAATGACACTTCATCGCCAGACCCTCAACTCAGGTCTATTCATGCCTTCGATGCTGTGTGTGTTGATGAGGTCCAAAGGTGTTGCACGAGGGGACACGTAAGATACGCACGCACTTTTGTGGCTGACTGGCTGTATGCAGTCATTGCGCATGAGCGCCTCTTATCAGCCTCTACGCCCTGCGACTAGATGCTTCAGTATGCTGTTCAGTACCCATTGACATGTATACCATGACTTCGGAGGCCACATTCAGTATCGATCACCACAGTTTGTCATGCCGCCCGCTTTGGCCCATGCATAACACCAGTTCTACTACTTCATACGAGAAGATAGGGGGGTAGGCTCACTATCTTCCTAGGAACTCTGTCCTGGGCGCCCTGTTCGCATAATATACGCCGGCAATGAGGTGGGTCATCAAGAGTGACCCTAGCCAGTTCTTAACCCCACTGCAGACGCAGACGACCCAACTTACCCGTCAAACTAGTTCTAGCTCGGTCTACACACTCGGCAGCACGACATCCACAGTCAACGAGAGGCTCATGTTCCCCATAACTTTCAATGCAGTCGGCGATATCGCGACTTTTGCTAGCCTGATGTTCGACATTGCTCGAGCGTTGAGTGAAACGCGCGGCTCCCCTTCCGAGTATCGAGCGTTCACCGCAGAGCTGAGCTCGCTCCACGTTGTACTCACCTCCGTCACGCGTATCGCAGAATCCACCACCGATAGTGCTCTACGAGCGGAGATCGTGCGCGAGGTGAACCTCTGCAGCAACGACGTGCAACGGGCACTGAAGCGCATAGTCAAGTTTTCTGCGCTCGGCCAGGAGAGCGGCACGGACCACCCGCTGTGCGTGAAGCTCAAAAGGCAGTGGTTCAAGCTAGAGTGGCGCTTTGGACAACGTCACAACGTGCGGGAGGTTCGCGCGGAGCTTTCACTGACGACGCAACGCCTTACGGCGTACCTGGTCATAGTGAATTCGTCAGTACTATCCTCTCTCTGACCGGTATAGCTGCTGATGTACACTGTCGATGTACAGCGACGGCATACAGAACCTCAATGCCTCGCTCACCGACCACTTCGATATCATGACTGCACGCATCTGCACATCACTGATGCACCGATTCGCCATCACCGCCGCTCCGCGCACTTCTGAGCCATGCAGCATCCGACATAGCGATGCTGCTGTCCTCGTCGGCGATCTACAGCGCACCTCCCAGAGAGTATACCCTGACTCTCGTGGTGGAAGACACACCCTAGATACCAGCAAAGCGGTGGCCGTGGGTCTATTGTGTGTTGCGATTTGCACTATGTGCGATACGTCACACAGCATTCACACAGCATTGCTCTTTGCTGCAGTCGGGATCTTGTTGCGCGGCATCATGCGGGACAACCGTATCATTGCGCCCGTGGTAGGGTATACCCACTCTAACTCGATGACCTTGCACGATGCCCTTGGTCAACGGCTCGTACTACCTCTTGAACTATGCGCAACGCACGACGTCAGTACATTGTGTTGCCCACGATACCGATACCGTTGGCTAACAGCGCAAAGGCATTCCATGCGACGCTCGTCAACATGTTCAAGGATATGGACGGCCATTGGTTCATCGACGCGCAAAGGTATACGATCACCCGCGTAGACAACACTTGTCCGATCCGAGCGTGTGATTGGGCGCTATCCGTCAAATCTGGGGCAGAGGTTGAGATGAGCGTCTTTGTGCAATGGGGTGGGTTTCCGTGCAGCATTCTCTGTCCTGCATGCCTAGTTGTGATCGAGAGAGAGGTCTGCGTCAACGAAGCCGAATGGTACGTGCCTGATCTCTATACACGCTCTGACTGACATATCTGCCTCAGTGGCGAATGTGGGAGAACACTGACAAGAGCCACAAGCGCGTCCGCAGGGCGGAGTATCCTCGGGAGCACCTCACAAGTATCTCAGCCGTCTGTGAACGAAGACGGTCGGGGTCGATCCTCGCAAACGAGGTCTGTGATTTGTCGCAAATCCTTGCGTTATTTAATTGACACATCATAGGCAAGAAGAGGCGACAGGTGAAGAGCAAGACAAGGAGGCGAACCGTAAGCGCCGCCTCCACGAGGGCAATCAATCGACGCTGGGCTTGAGTTGGAGATCGCAGATACGGCAATTCAGGCGCATCCAGATCCAGGAAACCGAGGGGCTTGAACTTGCAAGCCTCGACGATCCCGTTGTGCCTTCGACAGACCGCCGCGAGTTCCTCACTGCAGCTGAAAACGGCCACTATCCCCTGGTCAGCGCTCTTATTCAGAGAGGAATGGACGTCAACGTACAAGGGCGGACTGGGTATACCGCGCTTCATCTTGCGTCCTACAACGGGCATACCGATGTCGTGGAGCTTTTGCTTGATCAAGGTGCTTCCGTCGACGCGGCCACGAAGGACGACATAACACCATTCGCATGCACAGTCGCGCGAGGCCATCTGGAGGTCTCTACGTTACTTCTCGCGAGAGGCGCGATCGTCAATGCACCGCAGCCAATGCAGGTCGTCGCGTTATACGCGGCCGCGGGGGCCAACAACATCGACGTTGCTCGGATGTTGCTTCGCCTCGGTGTTGACGCCAATGCGTGCATTGGCAAACACATGGGCAGGACGGCTCTGCATGCCGCGGTGTGGGCGAAGAGTAGTAGGATGGTCGAAGTACTCTTGCAGCACGGTGCTGATGTGAATGCTTGCTCGTCCGATGGACATACGCCACTCTCGATCGCAAGGCGCGACCCGGGGGACGCGCTGATTGAGTCGCTTCTTTCGTTATGATGCATGCCTAGAATGGCTTCTTCGCCTTGATTTGTATACCAGATATCATATACCGCCGATAGATAGAGCATAAGTAGATTGTACATTGTGGTTCATCCTGCCAAGTATAGTCAGCGACTCTCCCGGATACATGATCACGCTACCGCTGAACTCACCTTCTCTCTGCGCTAACACTTGCCTGTATCAGTACGCTTCATCACGCCCACACATCAAACACAACCTTCCCCCACACCCCCTTATCAAACTTCTCATACGCCTCGGGCGCATTTTCGAGCGGTACAACCCTCTCCACCAATCCCGTCCCGCCAACTTGCGCCAGAACGTCCGCGCGCTTGCGCAGGAGACGGAGGGCGGCGGGGAAGAGCGCGCGGACGGGGCAGCGGCCGAATCTACGAAGATGCTATCAGTACTAGTGGAGATGATGCAAAGGCAGAAAGATGCGTACTCGAGCGTCACATTCGCGTTATACAGTTCACGACCAGTGAAGGGAACTTGAGGAGCTTGATGCACCCCACACGAACTCAGCACACCCGCCGGCGCGAGCAGACCCATCGCAGTCGTCAGCGCCGAGTTATTTCCAACAACTTCAAGCACGGCGTGGCACCCCCCGCGTCCCCATCCTTTGACGATGCCCCGCGCGTCCATATGGTCGGATAGGAAGATCTCGCCGAGAGATGTGGGGGAGGACGGGGAGGAGGATACGACGGCGAGCATCGACTCGAGTTTTCTGCGCCGGACGGGGTTCGGGTCGACTGCGAGGAGTTTGTAGGGGACTGAGAGGTGCGAGAGGATGTCGAGGAGGGCGAAGGTCGCGCACTGGACATGTCAGTATCGAGGTCGGAGTCTGGAGAGAGGGATGGCTTACGAGGCCTACGGGGCCTAGTCCGACCACAGCGAGCTGCAACGCCCGATCCTCAGTCCTGATAGCCGCCTGCGCATCGACCTCACTATCAAAGTACCCGTCCAACTTCGGTGGCCAAGCCGTTCCAGTCAACACCGGTGCGATTTTGGCATGGCTCAGCGCCTGAGTGGCGACGAACAGACCCGTAGGCAGGATGTCGGCCAGAAGGAGTAACGCGGGTGCGGGAAGCTCTTGCGAAAGGTTGGGAGGAAGAGCGAACAGCGATCCGCCCGCGTGTGGGATGCGGATGTATTGGGCTTGGGCGCCGGGGAGGATGGGTTGACCGAGGAGGATGGAGTGGATGCAGCGTTGGGTTTGACCGAGGCGGCAGAACCTAATAGAATGGCACAGTCAGTATCCATAGAAAGATCGCGTAGAGTCTGGAAGAGTTAATACTCACTCGCATTCGCCACACGATACGGTGAACGGACACACCACACCATCACCGACCTTGAGCGTCCTATACAGCGCGGGCCGACTCTCAGACGCATCCGGCACAAAGCTATCTCCGAGCGCAACGACAATCCCAATGAGCTCGTGTCCACACGTATGCCTGCACAAGACCGGCGAAACCTCAGAACCGCGGGCAATCCACACGCAAGACAGGAAACACGCATACCGCTCATCGACGTCCTCATCGCCGCGGAACACATGCAGATCGCTTCCACACAGGCCGGCCAGCTACGCGTACGAGTTCATGACAATGCAACATCCCAACAGATTGACAGGAGGCGGGAAGAAGCAGTGCAGATGCACGGGGGAGTGTACGGAGCCGCAGTTAGCTTCGAAGTGACTCTAGATACGTGTGCCGTCTAAGCACTTTCTAAGCCATGACCCACCTGGACCTTCACAATCGCGTCATCCGCGTGCTGGAGCCTGCTCAATCAGCACGACAAGTCCGAAGATCAACGATAACATCAGAGAGGCCTACCGAGGCGTAGCGACCTGCTCGACACGGACGTCGCGCGGGCCGTGCCAGACGACGGCGGTGTGTGTCTCGGGAAGTGCGCTCATCGGGAGTCGAACGCGGGGAAAGAAAGAGGCGCGCGGGATGGCCGGGCCAACCGGTTGTTCGCGGAGATTGATGAGTGAGCAAACGTGACCCTAACCCTAACAGGGGCGATCCCTCATAAGCAAACGCGCGCGAAACCGACGCCCACCTTCTCTCGTCCCCCGCAAATTTTTTAACGGTGAGCATCCTCGCCACTCGTCGTTTCTGCGCCACACAGTTCTGTTGTACATGCGCAGAATAGACGTTTGACATCAAAAAGAAATATGATCGACTAATAAATAAAAATATTACAGATGGGTCGCCGTCCTTTCCGCTGCTACCGCTACTGCAAGAACAAGCCGTACCCCAAGTCGCGCTACAACCGCGGTGTGCCCGACCCGAAGATCCGCATCTTCGATCTCGGCCGCAAGCGCGCGTCGGTCGACGACTTCCCGTACTGCTGCCATCTCGTCTCGGACGAGTACGAGCAGCTGTCCTCCGAGTCGCTCGAGGCCGCCCGCATCTGCGCCAACAAGTACATCACAAAGACGTCCGGCAAGGACTCGTTCCATCTCCGCGTCCGCGTCCACCCCTTCCACGTCCTCCGCATCAACAAGATGTTGTCCTGCGCCGGCGCCGATCGGTGCGTTTTTATTGTATCTTTGCTTACAAATCAGTATTCTGATATATCGTGCAGTCTGCAGCAGGGTATGCGTGGTGCCTGGGGTAAGCCCTACGGCTCCGTCGCCCGCGTCGACATCGGCCAGATCATCCTCTCCGTCCGCACCAAGGACAACAACGCCCCCGTCGTCCACGAGGCCCTCCGCCGCGCCCGCTACAAGTTCCCCGGCCGCCAGAAGATCATCGTCTCCCGCAAGTGGGGCTTCACCAACGTCAACCGCGAGGACTACCTCAAGCTCAAGGCTGACAAGCGTGTGCTCCAGTGCGTATTCCCTCGTTTGTCATATGCCGATATCGAGCGGGAAATGCTGATGCGATGTGTGAAGGGATGGCGCGTACGTCCAGTACATCCGCCCCCGCGGCCCCCTCGAGGCGAACCTCCGCGCCCAGCTCCGTGCGTAGGGGATTGCCGTCTGACATGTACTTACCCCTGTACTACCCGCGCTCGCCGCTATATATTCGCTCTGTGAGGAGTGTACGATAAGCCGATGTGGACCCGTTTCTGTCGTGTGACCGCGTGAGAGATGCATGCCTCTATATTCACTACGTCGCCCTGAACCGTGGGCGACGGTTAGGGGAAACGGGGCAGAGATTGATCCTTCTTGGTTTCGCCGTGGACGTGCTTTCTATCGTACTTTGCTGTTCGGTGTATCGTACTCTTATAGCATACTGCGGAGACATCGCTGCTCGCCTATTCAATTTGATGACTTGCCTGTAATGTGGTGCTTCTTATACGCGAAGAGTTCAGCGCCAGTGAAGTCCGACTAAGTACGAGAACTGGATGTGGCAAAGGTTGCATCCTACGATACATGTCCAGATCAGCCATGTAGCCACTAACCGCCGGCGAAACTCGTAGCAGACGGAAGTTGACCTCAACGGCGATGGCACCAGCACCGGCCGCCGGCCCAAACGTCTCTTCTACTTTGTCAACTGTATACTGTATGTAGCCTCGGCTCACATCGCAATAGACCGGGTACACCTATCATACCCGTATTCCTCTACGACATAACCTCACGAGGGTTGCGGCCCACTCGGTTATATCCCCAATACCGACCTCCATCCACACCGGGAGCAGCAACAAACACCCGTATGGAGGTATATCCTCGGCCATACCACCGTCAGCCCGTCCAGCGCTTCTCTACCTTCTACCTGAGGGCCGTATAGTTGCCTGTGAGGCTTACTCCGAGTCGGCTACCACCCAGACTTGCGCGTCTACGCGGCCGATCCACCTTACTGCGCTACATGAAGTGGGTCAATAGTGTTCCTACGTTCGGCTTGCAGCACCGCCCATCAGAAGCCGTCTCAACCTCCAGAGTTTCTGTCTGCGTATAAGTAGGTGGGTACCGTTCGGACTGAGGTTACACTACACCTGCTCATTCCTACTTATCAACAAGCAACATTGCTAAAGAACTTTTATCAAACATGGTCAACGTCCCAACCGCTACTCTCAACACTGGAGCCAAGATCCCGCTCGTTGGTCTAGGGTGCGCGCATAGAAGTGTTGAGATCGAGAACCGGGATTGACGTCTTGGTGTAGATGCTGGATGGGCATGCCAGGCGGTGGGCAGCGCGTGTACGATATGTGCGCGAAGGCGATCGCGGCAGGCTATAGGCACATCGACACAGCGGCAGGCTACGGTAAGCCTCCCCAACACTCCCAGACAATCCTGCCCATCACGCTCACACCCGCTCTCCACAGCAAACGAAGAGTTCGTAGGCAAAGCCATCCGCGACTCCGGCATCCCCCGCTCCGAATTCTTCATCGTTACCAAGCTCCCCAACACACACCACACGCAAGTATCCACCGCCCTCTCCGCCTCCCTCGCCGCGCTCGGGCTCGACTACGTCGACCTATACCTCATGCACTGGCCCCAGGCCACCGCCACAGAAGACTGGTTCGG